CATAGGATGCCTACAACCTCATTGGGTATGTCTTCTTACTGCCATTTAGAGATAATAAGTCTGAAATCAAAGAAGTAGCATACTGTATACTAAATAAATAACCAACAACATGGCTAAATACATGAGACTTACCCAGACCAAAAGAAGGTAATGGCAAACCATTAAAAGGCTGTAGGCTGGAGAGTGACATGCCAGATTTGGATTTTAACCAGTCAGAGGAGGACAACACTGGAGGCCAGGGGGCCAGTTAGAGAATACAGCCATAGTTCAGGCAAAAATGAAGGGGGCTACCCAATTTAAAAATAGTCAAAGGATATGAATAGACATTTCTCCAAAGGAAGTATACAAAAAGCCAATAAGCACGTGAAAAGATGCTCAATATCATTTGCCACCAGGGAATGCAAATCAAAACCACAGTGAGGTATCTCTTCACTCCCACTAGGATAGCTATAATAAAAAGGACAACAGCAAGTGTTGGTGAGGATGTGGAGAAACTGGAACCTCATACATCGCTTATGGAAATGTAAAATGGTGCAGCCCCTGTGGAAAACAGCCTGACAGTTCCTCAAAAGGTTAAACATAAAGTTACCACATGACCTAGGTGTAAAGGAAAATGAAGACATGTTCACACAAAAACTTATATTCAAATGTTCATAACAGCATTATTCACAATAGCCAAAAAGTGGAAACAACCCAAGTGTTCATTAGCTGATAAATGGATAAATAAAATGTGGTATATCCATACAATGGAATATTACCCAGCCATAAAAGAAATGATACCTATTACAACGTAGATGAACCTTGAAAATAGTATGCTAAGTGAAAAAAATCTAGTCACAAAGGACCATATAGTGCATGAATCCATTCACATGAAATGCCTAGAATAGATAAATCCAGAGAGACAGAAAGTAAATTAGTGGCTATAGTGGTGGGGGTGGGGGTGGGGGGTGGGGAGGAAAGTGACTGATAATGGGTACAGGGTTTCTTTTGGGGTAATTAAAATATTCTAAAATTATGATGATATTTCCGTAACTCTGTGAATATAATAAACTCATTGAATTGTATACTTTAAATAGGTGAATGGGGTGGTACTTGAATTATATCCCAATAAATCTGTTATTAAAAAGAGAGAGAGACTGAAAAACTCAAATACAACCTCATTTAATTTTCATCAAAAAAAAAAAATGAAAAAGGCTGAACTATAGCAGTTGCAGCAGAGATGGAGAGGAGAGAAGACATTGGGAAAATACATCAGAGAGAAATTATCAGGAGTCAATGACAACTGACTGAAACCCTGGTGGCATAGTGGTTAAGCATTTGGCTGCTATCAGGGATTGAGTTGTGTCCCCCAAAAATATCTGTTGGCTTGGCTGGGTTATGATTCTCAGTGTTGTATGATTGTGTAATCTGATGTGATTTCCTTATGTGTTGTAAATTCTATCACTGTGATGAGGTTATACAAGATTAGATAGTGTCTTAATACAATCTCTTTTGAGATATAAAAGAGAGAAGCAAGTAGAGACACATGGGAACCTCATACCACCAAGAAAACAGTGCCGGGAGCAGAACGTGTCCTTTGGACCTGAGGTTCCTGCGCAGAGAAGCTCCCAGACCAAGCAAAGACTGATGCATTACAAGGACCTTTCTCCAGAGCCGACAGAGAGAGAAAGCTTTCTCCTGGAGCTGATGCCCTGAATTTGGACTTCTAACCTACTAGACTGTGAGAGAATAAACTTCTCTTTGCTAAAAACCATCCACTTGTGGTATTTCTGTTGCAGCAGCAACAGATGACTGAGACAGCTGCTAACCAAAATGTTGGCAGTTCGAATCCACCAGGTGCTCTTGGAAATCCTATGGGGCAGTTCTACTCTATCCTATAGGGTCATTATGAGTCAGAATCTACTTGACGGCAATAGGTTTGGTTTTTGGAATGACACTGATGAGGAGGTGGGAGGAAGGAGGGAGGAAGACTGGCTTCCAGATATTCAGCTTCTGAACCAGGGTTGATGGACATGCCATTAACTGAGGCAAGCCTATGGGAAGAGGGTTAACTGGCGTGAACAGGACAAGTATGACCACCAAGGGGAACATCTCATCCATTAGCATCAGAGACTCCCAGGCATGCCTAGGTGATTAGCTCTCAGTCACCTAGACCCAGGTAATAGACCTTGATAGACAAGGACAGCAGTCGGCAGAGGACAAGGGAGGAAGGCTTTTAGGAGGACTAAGGCACTGGTCTAGCTGAAGGCCTTGCTCCCCAAGGCAGACAGCAAACTGTGGAGCCTGGTAAGGAGCAAGGAGCTGGGCTCTGGCACAGATGGCTACAGGTGTTCAATGGAGTCTCTGTTGGTGGGCAGGTCTTAGAGGCAAACCAAAAAACAAAACAAAACCCACTGTCATTAAGTCGATTCCAACTGATAATGACCGTACAGAACAAGTAGAACTGCCACATAGGGTTTCCAAGGCTGTAATCTTTACAGAAGCAGATTGCCACATCTTTCTTCCATAGAGCAGCTGGTGGGTTTGAACCGCTGACCTTTCAGTTAGCAGCCGAGCACTTAACCACTGCATCACCAGGGCTCCTTCTTAGAAGCAAGGGATCCAGCAAAAGACGATGCACAATCAACCAGCTTACAGAATCCTGGCTGGAGTTTGGAGAGAAGTCAAGTTTAGAGTTCTAGGGAGGAAGCTGAATAGAGTTAGGGAGAGTATCTGAGCCTCCACTGAGCTGGTAAGGATGGCATTCAGTCTTAGTGGAAATTGAAGGACTAAGGCAGATATGGAAGCAGAAGCCTAATCAATGCCCTGAGCCAAACTAGCAGAAAGGTCCTTCATTCATTCAACCTGCAGTTATTGACACTTGTCCTGTGTCACACTGCGCCAGGCATGGGAGATAAAAAGGGGAATTAGACAGAGTTCCTGTCCTCAAGGAACTCACAAATTAGTAAGGCAATAGACAAGAAATTAATACAGTGTAATAAAGACTGTCCACCACCAATCTGTCAGTTTGTTGTACTGTGGTGGCTTGCATGTTGCCACCATGCTGGAAGCTATGGGAAGCTCTGCTGAAACCTGTCCACCATGGGTGACCCTGCTGGTATTTGAAATATAGTGGCATAGCTTCCAGCCTCATAGCAACATACGAGCCATCACGAACTAGCAGATGGGTGGTGGTGGTAGGAAATGCTAAACTCTAGAAAATAAATACATCTTCCAGGCATGACGTAGCACCTCTGAATTCCAGCCCTAAAGCAGAGCCCTCAGCAAGAACCAATCTGAACGAATCTGAACGAATCTGGTGCCTGACAGGACCTCTGACATCCAACCTCTCCTCCCTTGCTACCCCCTCCACCACAGATCTGCCACCTATGTGTGAATGGCTCCGCTCATGGGGTGCACTCACCCTTCCAAAGGCAGATCAGGAGTGGACAGGGGTTCATGAGCAGAACAAGAGCTGGCCCTGGCTGGAAAGAAGGATCAAGCTAGCAGGAACTGCATTTCAGCCTAGTGATCATGCGTGGGGGCCCCACAATTTACTGTTTATAACAGTATTTGCCAGACACAACAGACCACATATTGTGTGATTTTATTTTATATTAAATACCCAGAATAGGCAAATCCAAACAGACAGTAAGTAAAGTAGTGATTACCAGGGACTGGGGGAGGGGAGAATGCAGATTAACTGCTCCTTTGTATTTTTAATCGTTAAAGATAACAAGGAGCCTTGGTGCCACAGTGGGTTAAGAGCTCGGCTGCTAACCAAAATGTCAGCTTTTTGAATCCACCAGCCGCTCCTTGGAAACCCTATGGGGCAGTTGTTCTCTGTCCTGTAGGGTCACTGTGAGTCAGAATCGACTTGATGGCACCTAACAACAACAGTTCTCTTCTTGTCTGTGCTAGGTTAATGATATGCTGTATCTTATTTTGTCCTCCCGACAACCCTGCAAGATAAGAATGTGAGGCCCATTTTATAGATGAGAAAGATAATGATCAAACCAAAAACCAAACTAATTGGCATCGAGTTGATTCCGACTCATGGTGAACCCATGTGTTGCAAAGTAGAATTGTAGTCCACACAGATTTCTTGGCTGTGACCTTTCAAACGCAGATTGCTAGGCCTTTCTTCTGAGGCACCTCTGGGTGAGTTTGAACCACCAAACTTGCGGTTAGCAGTCAGGCGCTTAACTGCTACCCAGGGACTCCATCTAAGGCTCGGAGAGGTGCAATAAATTTGCTAATGAAAAAACACTCCTAAGACAGGGCTGTTCCCAATATTCCATGTCACACCTCCAAGTGGTTCATTCTGCAACAGACTCTCTTCCATTTAACAGCTCTTCTATGCTTTCCTCCCCAACCAGGAAGGAAAGGTTAGACGGCTTGACTGAGCTACCTGGAAGCTGCCTGATCTGAGTGTTAAAGGAAGCGAGGGCAAAGATGTTTGTGCTGAAAATCCCAAGTCCTGATCCCGAATTCTTAGTCCCAAACTGTAGAGGAAACCTCTAATTGCCAGCAAGCCAGGAGAGCTTTCAAAGTCCTGACAAGAACTCTGAAACCAGAGCTGGCCAGCATGTGTCCCTGAATATCAGAAGAGACACTATATTTACCCTGAAAAGCTCTTTAGAGCAACAGAAGGTTATAAATAGCCATTAGGGCCCAAGCAAGTGGCCTTAACACATGGATTCTCTTCCAAAAATGCAGACCTATTTTAATTAAATTCATAATTAAGCCTGGGGGAGGGCAGGCTCCCTGGATTCGGTTTTGCCTTCAGAGACACCGTGAGTAATTTCCTATTCGTGGGACATTTGGGGATTAGCACGCTGGCTGGGTGCTTGGCTCAGCTGCCGTCTAAAAGCTTGCACAGAGCTGAGCTCCTGGGAGAGGAGGTGCTCAGGCCCGGTGCAGAGTGAGTGTGTCCTTGCAGCCCCGGGCCTCCCGGCCCCAGGTGTGGCCATGTGGGTCTCCTTGAAAAGCCAGTTCTCATGACCGTGTTTCTGCAGAACAAGATGGGAGTCATGGCAGTGCTCATGTTGCTCCTGCTGCTCCTGGGGATCAGCTGCCTCCTCTTCATTTATCAAGAGGTGTCCCGGCTGTGGTCCAAGTCAGCCGTGCAGAACAAAGTGGTCGTCATCACCGATGCCATCTCAGGGCTGGGCAAGGGTAAGCTGGCCTCCCTTCCATGTGTGCCCAGTTCGGTCCTGAGGGACCAGCAGTGGTAGGGTGGCATGTGGGCAAACCTGTTGGACAGGGAGTCAATTCTGTGTTCGCTTTTATTGTCTGTCATTAACCAGCAAGCTCCTTTTCTTTTGGAGCTTGCACCTTCGTAGCCCGATACTTGAAAGGACTGGGCTAACTGGGGTTGCAAACGCACTGCTTAAGGGCCAAAATGGGTCTGCGGATGTGATTTGTTTTGCCTTCACGGGGTTTGCAGAAATTTTGAAGTGTATAACCCTTAGCTGGGGCTACATAATAGTTTTAAGCTTAGATTTGGGAGCTGAGTTTAATTCCTGGATCCAGTACTTACTGACTGGGCCATTTGGGCATGTTCCTTTACTTCTGTACCGTGGTTTTGTCATCTGTAAAGTGAGGATAATAGTAGTCCCTAACTCAGAATGTTGTTGAGAAGAACAAATGAATTGAAAGCACTACGTACCTGGTGTTGTAATGGGCACAATTCAAGTGTTAGTAATGACGATGATGAATAATTTTAGGCAGAACATGCACATTCCAACGTGCCACACAACCTACTAGTCTCAATTATGTCACATGTGGCTGATTCCATATTACCATAGTACGTATCCACCATATAACTTCCTGGCCTTCGAAGCATTTGTGTTTTCAAACCCTAAACTACATGCCCTCAAAGGGCCCTTCCATTGGTGGTATCTGTGAGATGTTGCTGTCAGTTAGCTAGAAGATCATATCATGTGACCCTTGATATGATCTTCAATGGATCCCTGGGTAGTACAAACAGTTTGTGCTCATCTACTAACTTAAAGGTTCATGGTTCAAACCCACTCAGCAGAAGAAAGGCCTGGCAATCTTCTTCCATGTAGATTATAGCCAAGAAAACCCTATGGAACAGTTCTACTCCATAACACAAGGGGTCGCCATGAGTCAGAATCAACTCAACAGCAATAGGTCTGGTATTTTGGTTTGGATATAGTCTTCACTGTGAAGGATTCCTTGCCACCTTATTTGCTCCTTTCCCTTGGATAGTCCTTGAACGACTGGCCTCTTGGCCCCGTGGCTCCGTGTATAAACACACTGCCATTAGCACACTTCTCACACTGTCCTGCATTTGGTGTGTTTCTCAGTTAGCCCACTAGACACAAGCTTCCTGATGATGGAGCCTGTGTTTTATTCACCCTGGTATCCCCAGCACCTAGCTCAATGCTTGGCCTACACCAAAAAACACCAAACCCATTGCCGTCAAGTCAATTGCAACTCATAGACACCCTAAAGGACACAGTAGAACTGCCTCATAGGGTTTCCAAGGAGTACCTGGTGGATTCGAATTGTTGACCGTTTGGTTAGCAGCCATAGCTCTTAACCACTCTGCTACCAGGGTTTCCAAAAAAATGTTTATTTTTTTCTGTTTCTTTTTTTTTTTAATTGTACTTCAGGTGAAGGTTTATAGAACAAATAGTTTCTCATTAAACAGTAGTACACATATTGTTTTATGACATTGGTTAACAACCCCACGACGTATCAACCCTCTCCCTTCTCGACCTTTTTTTTTTTTTTGGTGAAAATATACATAGCCAAAGATACACCATTTCAAAACTTTCTACCTGCACAGTTCAGTGACATCTACTACACTCTTCCAATTGTGCTGCTATTCTCACTTTAAATGAAGGTTTACAGAACAAAATAGTTTCTCATTAAACAGTTAGTACACATGTTGCCCTATGACAATGGTTAACAA